CTGGGGCGGCAGCTCCGCGCCCTCCGCTGCGCTCGCCGGGGCCGCGGCGGGACGGTGGGTGCGGGCGGGCGGGAGGCGGAGGCGGCCCCGGGGGCGGGTTGCCGGGCCCGGCGGTGCTGCGGGTCCCGCCCGGGGCACCGCGTGTTCCCCGTCTCTGCGGGCTCTCGGATGTCCCTGGAGGCCGGGTGGGGTCACGGGCCGGCCGCTTTTCCTCCCCGCTTTCTTTAGCCCCTGGTTGGTTTGGGAGAGAATTTTCCCAAGTGCTCTCATCCGGCCCTGCTGCTTGAGGAGCATCTCGTCTGTGTCCTGTGGCTGTTCAGTTGTGTGTTCGGCATCAGGGCTTTGCCTTTCTAATACAAATATTTTGAGCAACGAGGCTACTTACTGAAAACAGGTTTTGTCTGTGCCGGTCCCGTTGTGGCAGCAGGGAGCGATGTGTGAAGGCCTAGTGAGCACAGTAAAAATCAGAGACCTTACAGTAAAGGATAATTTGGATATGAAGGGGGTTAAAATAGATTTGCTATTCTCTGTGTGCTCGGTTTTAATGGGCAACCAATATATATATTCTATGTCGGTAAACACGTGTTTTTACAAAGTCAGTTTCCAGTGTATACAAATAAAAAGTGACCTCATTCAGGCAGACACTAATACTGACAATGGCTACTGATGCAGCAAGTTGAAGAGTTGAGCCCTGCTTGAATTTCTGCAGGTATAGAAGATAAAAAAAAAAAACCAGATATATCTGTATCCAAATAGAAATCACAGGAGAGGCCATCTTTCCTGGAGAGCCATATATAACAGCTGAGGGCTATAAATGTGAGAAGTATTTGGGGAGCTTTTCCGCGCATGCAGCATCTGCAAGTAAGAAGGTGGGGAGGGGAGAACATTGACCAAAAGGAGTGAGTTTGCAGTAGCAGTTAGGAGAGACAGGCAAGAGAAAAAAGGAGGAAAACTAGGAGAGAAGGAAAAGAAAAAATGGTAATATTTACAAAGGGATGGGTGATGATGACCTTTGTTTTGTCCTTTGCTCTGTTGAACCACATTTTTCAACCATGAGAAATCTCAAAATTACTTTAACAGGAACTCAGAGATGGAAAGAGAAAAGTGACGTGCTGGAAGAGAGGTGGGCTGTTCCTTTAAGAAGGGCAGAGAAACTTCATACAGCAAAAGGTAAGATTAATGATGTTTTTTGTCCAGATCTGTGACTTTGTGAATAACAGGTATTTATCGGTAAAACTTCACCTGTAACCTTAGTATTCTGTAACTGCAGGGTTAGATGATTCTTTTCTGATGATAAGTCCTTCACGTAGCTTTTCTGAGAGCCAGTTTTGTACACTTTAAGTATACATTCAGTGAATGTTTTGTGTTCTGAAGTGTTTCATGGCTGATAGACTTTAACTGTTGAGACATAGTTTTTCTTATTACCATTTTCTGAAATTTCTGCTTCATTATCCCTTTTTTCCCCTGAATATTTCCAATATTTTGTTCAAAATGTTCCAAATGGAGTAATTCCAGTCCTTTATATAACACCATAATAAGCAGATAAATTAATAGATGACGTGAATTTGAAGTCACTGTAGCTTTCACAGGGTTATTATTTTGAATGGGGTTTTTTTGGCTTTATGCTATTTCCATCTTACTAGATGTTTATGGTTAGTTGAAGAACCTGTTGAATTTGTTTAGAGTTGCAAGTAAGTAATAAGCTTTCATGGGGGTTTTGGTATTTGCTTTGGGTATTTTTCCACTATATAATTCTAGTTCATGTGAGGTTTATTTATTTTGGGGAAAATATAGGCCAAAATATTTTCATGTTGTATAAGTAGCTTACATGTAACTTACAGCAGGATTTTGTATCGTGTTTCATCACATAAATAAAATAGATTTTTTTTTCTTGATTTAAGGAAAAACCTCCAAGGTACTTAAAATCTCAAATCTGAGAGTTCTAAATAAAATGTAAATAGCAGAAGTCTTGTTTGCTTCTGCCAAAGGTGAATAAATATTATGCTTAAAATCTCCTGTCACAAAACTAGCTTACTTGTTTTGTAGAAACCTTGTCCCCACATATTGTGATACTCACCAGAAGATTTAAAAACAATTTCTAGCAGCACCTAAATAAGGCCCTAAAATTAGCAGTCTTTGTGTTTGTGTTCAACCTTTTGTGTGATGAGTGGTAAACTGACTTTCGTAGGTTTTCTCAGGATAGAAGATAATGATTTGAAGTGTACAGCACTGAATGTGATGAAGAAAATTCATTCTGATCTTAGCAGATGATCATCTTATGCTTATCATCTTAGATGCACATAATTGCTTCTTAGTCATTGTGGCTTTCAAGTGCTAACACCAATCCCAAATTATCTACTCTTGGTGCAGTACCTCACATGATTATAATCTCAGCAACAGGAAATTCTGCAACTTGTGTATGTACTCCTGTAACATATACTTCCTTTCAGTGTTTCTGTATTAGCTCTTCTTAGCATGTCCCTAAGTTTAATTTTGATAGAATAAAGACTGCGTAATTCCCATTACAGAATGCGTTACTGCTTTCTGAGGAGCTAAAACAATGCCTGGTACACCATTTTTAAGGAGGTAGGTCTGATCTCATCTAGATAGGCAAGCATTGCTGTGTTGCTTGTCACATCCACTTAGTAGCTGATTTTACAGGACTCAGTGCACAGCAATAGGGGCTGGGATATCTTGGGTCAAAATCAGGTCAAGGGACTTGATCAGCTGCAGTTTGTTTCAGAAGCAGGGACAGATGCAGTGCAGGATGTTCCAGGATATGGAGGTCAACACTGAAATTTCAGCTGGTAATAAGCCACGAAATACAATTCAATACAATTATTTGTAATGAGTGGTCACTGTTTAATAGTTGACATTCACAAGAAGCTGGACTGTGTTGACAAATGCACATACATTGCATTTTACTACATTTTAAACAATGTGAAATGTGATGCTGTGACTATTCTTTTGGCAGCAGTTCCATCTTAAAGATTTCTACCAACCTTCTGTGTTTTGCCCCCTTTGCCTTAATTTTACTCTGTCTCTCATTCTGATATTATACTTTCTGAAGCTTCAATATTTGCTGGAAAACCAGCTTCATGTTGTTCTTATAGCCAAATGAAAGAGCTTCTAATTTTTGGAGACATTAACTTTTTTGAAGCACATAGGTGTGAATTTTTGGTAAAGGGACAATTGTTTAGTCACACTGCACTGAGGATGCACCTGAGGCTGCACACCTGGTCTGTACAACTTTGCAGGTGTGCAGTGGAATAAAGAGTCAGCAATTCCCACGCACCCAGACAGACAAGATGTGATGCAAAGTAGCAACAGGGATCTTATTAACAGGGGAGCTGAACTCCTAAGCTTCCATCATAGATGAGTTTTTGTCTTCCCTTTCATTGCCAATTACTGGGCTTTTTGAATAATTTATTTATGATAATTTATCTCAGAAATAAATAGGACGTACGTAATACCCGGGTGAGTCTGTGTATTTAGAATGTCATTTCAGTGATATTCATGTTGCATTCCAGTCTCTACATTCATGGCACCTTTAGTCCTCTAAAATTTCCCCAAGTGCCTGATTTTCTTACTTGCTGGGGACAAGGAGCAAACGTTGTTGTTTCTCTTCAGAATATTACATTGCAGTTAAAGGGTTTTCTAAACACTGATGTTATGATTTGGAGATCTTATGTAAGTAGGGTCCAAAATTTTCTGATAGGCAAATGTTTTTGCTTCCTGCAGCTATGCTTATTTTTCTGTGTTATTTAAGGCAGCTAGATATGTATATAAGGAAACAATATGTGCGCTTTTTTTTTTCCCCAGTAAATGTTCTTGGTACTACACAATGTGCTAGACATCCCTAAACCTTTATTACTCCCAACACATGCAATGTCCTGCCTTGTCCCTTTTCCATTAGATCTTGCTGCTGAATTTTCCATGTATTTGAACTGGGCATTGGTTGTGTGAGCATGGGACAGGCCAGGTCTGCTGGTGAGTTTTTATCTGCTTAGTGATTGATTTCCAAACTTATAGGTTGCTAATATTCAGAGACCATCCCGGTCTTTCTGCTTTTCTGAAGGTTAAAAGAAGGTTGTAGCTATAGGCTGAGCACCAAGCTAGCTGATTTAGAAACATCTTGTGTAGCTCTCTGTAGCAATCTTTTTTGATTGAGATACGTGGCTCCATGCTGAGGTAATCTGCAGGGGAAGGAGAGCTTGTAGTAATGAGCTCTCCTTCCCCTGCTGATTATTATGTCCAATCCACAGGCAACTCTGCAGTATGTGGCTGCATAAAACATTTTTAAAGATAAGACTGATAAACACCTTTTTATGGCCATGAGTCCATAAGCAGGGTTCATGCCCTCTGAAATGCTGAAAACTACTTTTAAATTAATCTGCACTCCTGCTATAAAGGGACTAGGTTTCCTTACTTCATCTAATTGTTGCTGTCTGTCCAGTTTTATAATTATTTCAGGTTTTAATCTGTTTTCAGATGCAAGGTATTACTGCAAGTTTTAAAAAATCATTTAGAGCTGGAAAGTTTGCACTACTAGAGTAAAATATGAACAACTTCCTTAGTAAAATCTACTTTATATGACAGTTACAATGCTTAGGAATTCTTCAACAATTTCTACTGTGTTTGGCTAAGTACCTTTTCATTCCATCTAATCAGGAGACACTTAAAGGAAGAAGAGAAAATGAATTGCCTCACCATTTTGAATTTAACTACAAAAGATATTCCTGACAAGAACTACAAAAAGGGATTCATGAGCAGAAGCAAATGCATTTTCTGACTGGACCTTACGTTCTTTTATAACTAAAACACTACTTTTTGACTATTGATAAAACACTAATAGAAATGGCAAATGCAGTTTTCCTCTGAATTATCTTCTTCTCTGAGCATCTTCCCTGAGAGAAATGCCTCCATATCAGGGCTTTTCAGTGGGAAGGTTTTTCTGAGTTGTGTTTTCAGACATTTTTTTGTCATTTTTGTTTGATTTGTTTCAGATTCTTAGTGTCTGTATAGTCTGTGTTAGAGAAGGTACCAATGAGTAGGTTGTTATATTACTGGGAAGAATATTATTAAAGAATTTAAGAAA